ATTACTGAAGAGCAATGATGTCAATTTGAAGATTCTGCCTAATTCAGGCCATGGTCTTTTCAATTACTTGTTAGGCATCTGGGGACTGGAAAACTAATAAGAATTATAGAAGAGTTGATGCCTTTGAGCCGTGGTGTTGGAGAAGAATATTCCATGGGCTGGTACAAGGACAAACAGATATGTGTTGGAGAGATACAACAAGAATGTTCCTTATAGGCAAGGATGATCCATGGGCATGTTGCTAGGAGAGGCTATTCTTGGAGAGTGGCATCATGCTTGGGAAGGTGGAAGGTCAGAGAGAGGGAGAAAGACTTTCCATGAGATGAATTGACACAGTTACTATAGCAGTGGGTTCAAGTTTGTCAGGAAGTGTGAGGATAGCACAGGATAGTACAGGGTTCAGATCTATCACTCATAGGGTTACTATGAAGTGTACTTGACTCAACAGCACCTAACAACAACAATAACAAAAATGGCTGACTCTTTTTTGTGGTAACCCACCAGTGTTAAGAGTAAAATTTGCTCCATAGGTTTTCAAAGCTATGACCTTTCAGAAGATTGCTAGGCCTTCCGTCCCCCAAACCCCCAAAAAGTGTCTCTAGGTAGACTCAAACCTTCAACCTTTTGGTGGTGGTTGTTTGCCATTGAGTCAGAACTGACAACTTTTTGGTGGTGGTTGTTGCTGTTATGTGCTGTCAAGTCACTTGTAAGTCATAGTGACCTTATGTACAACAGCTCTGAACTCTGCTCTATCTTGACTCAATCTCATTGTCTGAACACAAGTTGGGAACTCCATATAAATCCTAGACCTAGGTTAAGGGAACAATTGTTGTTAGGTGCTGTAATATTGACTCAATATTGTATTATTATTATTATTGTATTATTAATAATGTGTTATTGACTTAATATTCTTCATCTTAATTCTACACTGATCAGACAACACTGGAGTTGAATTCCGAGTTCAAGACAGGTTTTGAAGCAGGAGTGGCATCCGCTTGCTAAAACAACATGCCTCTGGAAACTCTATGAATTTTGAGAAACAACGATAGTCATAGAAAGGCCGCAGATCTTTTGTTCATAGAGTCATGCTTGACTCAATGGCAATCAGCAGCAACGACAACATTGTATGTCAACAAACTAGAGTATAGATGAAAAGGGATAATTATGATGTTCAAAGGTTTAGAAATCATGTTATCCTGGTAATTAAATAAATATTTGGAGATGAGAATAGTTAAAAGAAGCAGTGAAAATTAGCTTCAAGTTTTTTAATACCTACCAGATAAAAAAGATCCTGAAGGAATGAGTTTCTGGTCCTAGGGCCATAGGAACCGATAGTCTCCAGGGGCTTGAGGGTCAATTGGCAAAATAAAGTCCATTATAATATTCTCTACATTCCACCTTGCTGAGTAGCAACTAGTCTTAAAAGTTTTCACAGAACCATCTAAGGTGCAACTATTGGTCTCTCTCCATCTGGAAGAAAAAGGGAATAAAAGCAAAGATGTGTAGAACCAATTAGTCCTAAGAATTAATGATCCACTAGAGCCTTAAGCTCCTTGACCATGAGATCAGAAGAACTAGATGGTGTCCAGCAGCCACTGCTGATCATTGTAAAAGAATCAAAGAGAAGGTTGTGGGCAGAGTGGGAGATAATGTGGAAGAAAATTAAAAATCATAGAGATGGCCAGGCTGCTGGTCTTCTAGGGACTAGTGAGACTGAAGAGGATGGTAATTAGTCATTGAGCTTGGAAGCAAGCTCACAATGTGGCTCAATTTTCAGCCAATCAACAAGGCTATAAGATGTGTTCCCCTTATAACACAGACAGATATTCCTGAGAACAGTCAACCATACAAAATCGAAAGAGCAGCATTTAAGCTCAGAAGGCAAAAAGGGGTGTGCTAGAAGGGTGAATGACAGAATGACCAAGTAGAAGCAGGAAGAGTGATGTTACAATGTAGGGACTGTATAAATTATTGAATAAAAACCCAATTTTATACGTAAATGTTCACTCAAATCACAATAAAAATTATTTTTAAAGAAGAAATTGAAGGTATTATAGTTTCAGAAGACTAAAATACAAAAGGAAGTAGAATTTGAAGAGCTGAGGTGTTACAGTTAAATATTATTAATACTTAAAAAGACTGGTTTTTTAAGATTTTTATTACTGAGATTTCCAGAGCAGAGATTATATCAACACTGGACAGGTACTTTATGTCTTTCTAACAGGGTGACACATTGACCTCAAAGGTCCCTAAGGTACTTTCTGATTCTCCTAGGGCCCATTAGGAACGTCATTAATCGTACAGATCTATGCTAGAGTGATACTTGTGCAGCCTTTTAGAGCTTTGTCCCTGCACCAAATGGTCTTTTACCTTTCTCCCCTCTCTTCCTTTCAGATTTTAAGCAGTAAACAAATAGGTCTGTCTTGGAGAGGGTGAAACCAAGTCTCTACTTGGAGGCTAGGATTTTGAAGTTCTGCCTTATTTACTTTGGGCATATGACCAGGAGAGATTGGTCTTTGGAGAAGGACATCATGCTCGGAATGGTGGATGGACAGCGCTGGAGAGGAAGACCCCAGATGAGATAAATTAATACAGTAACTGGGGCAATGGGGGTTAGTGTGTCAGAGTTAGTGAGACTGGTCCATGACAGGAAAGGATTCAGAGCTGCTGTACATTGGGGCACTCTTCATCGCAGGCGACTCAATGGCACATAACAACAATAGCATACTATGACAGGTTTGGAAGCAGGAGTGGCATCCAGTTCCCTAAATAACATGCCTCTGGAAACTCTGAACTTTGATAAATGTTGATGGTTGTATAGAGGCTTCGGACCTTTTTTTCATAGGGTTGCTGTGAGTTGTGCTCGACAACATTGTAGATGGAATATTTTCCATGATAGGGTTTCTGAAAACTTGTTACTAAAATTTGGTGAGTTTGAATTTTGCCTAGATGCTTTTTCTGTATGAAAATATAATTGATACCTAAATTAGCCTGTACAATCACATGAACTTGATTGCAGTGTTGGTTACTTTTCTATCCTGAGTGTTTTTCATGTATAATAAGAATTGGAGTGGAATATTGGGGGATCATTCTAAGTTCATGGATGTTCTTCTTAATTAATATTGTAACAAAAATTCCAACATAATTCAATAAATACCAGTTCAAGAATGTACATTGAACCCCTAGCTGAGGTTCTGAGTTAAGAATAATGTGGTGATATAAGAATTCTATTGTCTGTAGGCTAAATATGAAAGACTATTCCAACAAGAAATAGGCAAGTAAGTAAGTATATGATTAATGTATGACTAGCAGGATACTAAATGGGTTTAATAGTGAGAAGTGGGGTAGTTATACCTAAATATAACAGTCTCAGAAGTTAATAAAAGTACTTTCCATCTGTTGCACATACAGCTGGCACTGGTATCTGTAAAGTGGTTAATTTTTTGGAAAAAATCCATAAGTGCAAAAATGAATGGTGCGATAAAAAACTGCTTCCTACTCAACTCGTGCCAATCCCCCTGATGTGTACACAGTATTTCTTAATTCACGAAACTTGCAAAAGTCCCCAACCCAAGTGTTAATCTCCTTCACGAAGCCTTAACTATTAGCAGTCCTCGCCACAATTAGCTGCTTGCGGTTGCTACAAAATTGTTTCCTGTAAATTATTTCATAACATTTATGCTCCGCAGCACAACATTCTCTACAGCGTGAGAGTAAGGGCGCTTGAAAAGGGCCAAAGTGATGCTCTTTGTTAAATTGGTGCTCATTAACAAATCCTGTGACACCCCCTCCCCAATATCTTTAGAACCTTTGACACCCCCTCCCCAATATCTTTAGAACCTTGAGCCTGAATTAAGGACCACTGTTTTTACACTGAAATATCCTATGATTAAGCAGGCAGTGGATCATCAAGCAAGGTGCACCCCCCAAAGGCGTTGGGAAAGCGCTCTCGCTCTCTGCCTGTGGATGGGTTGGGCTGGGGGGTTCGGCTCCCAAGTGCGGGACTCCCAGAGGAGGGGGGAATGGCGGGAAAAGGAAGAAGAGTTTGCTTTGGGGTGGTGTGTGTGTGTGTGTGTGTGTGTGTGTGTAGGAAGTAGGCGCTCGCATGTTTCAAAGTTCTCGAAGCCCCTTGGCATGCCCTGACCTGACCGAGAGGGAGTCATCTGCTCTTAGGAATGTTCCGGGAGAAGGTGGGAGAGCTCTCCTCCGGGAGGCCTGTGGGTGCGGGAAGGCACCGGGAGGTTCACGCTAGGAGATGCGAGGCCGGGTAGGGCGCGGGGGACCCCGGGCGGCCGAGGTGACCGGCGGGCGCCGGGGCTGAGCCACGAGGGCAGAGGACAGCGGGGGACACCTTGCGGGACGCCAGGACCCCTCCCCGGCGGGGCAGCCACCGAGCCGCCTGGGCCGCGCGCGCCCCACGGCCGGGCTGTCAAGCCGGGGGGCGGGCACGAGGAAGGGGTGGAGGTGCGAGAGGGAGGAGGGCTGGCACCGGAGCGCCGCGGTGTCGGTGCAATAAAAATGCATCCCATGGAACTGCCCATGGAGAAGGACGGGACCGAGGCGCGGCGGCCACAGGAGGCGGTGAAGGCGGAGGAGTGCGCGCAGGCGGCGGCGGCGGCGGCGGCGGCCGGGAAGTGAAAGGTCTCGCAGAGTTCAGTGGCGGCTGCGGGCGCCGAGCCCCGGGCGAGCGGCGGAGGAGCCCGCGGGGTCGCTCTGAGGGCCAGGCCGGCTATGGTGGCGGGGCTCCCGCCGGCCCCGAGGTGCCCGGGCCCCGCCAGCTCGGAGACCGAGAGCCGCCCCCCGGCCCCGCGCCACCCCAGCCCGCAGCTCCCGGCTGCCGGCGTGCGCTGACCAAGCCTGACGCCCCAGGAGGAGGAAGGACTGGAGGACCTCGTTTCCCTCCGCGGACGCCCGGCGCTGCACCCCACCGCGCGGAGGTCTCGGCTGCCTCCGGCCCCCGGCGGCCCGGCGCCTCCCGGCTCCTCCCTGCGCCCCCGGCCATGGGGCGCTGCGCGCGGCTCCTGCTGCTCTGGGGCTGCTCCGTAGTGGCCGCAGGTGGGTGGTGACGCCGCCGGGCCCCCAGCCCCTTCCCTCACGCCTTCTCCTCCCCATCTCGGGACTCCGGGGTGCCCGGGAGCCCCGAATAGGGGCACAGAGCTCCGCTCCGCAGGATGAAATGAGTGGCCATGTTCCGGCTCCTTTCCCTTGAGTCGCCGCAGTTTAAAATGCTGTTAAATTTGGGGGTGGGTTTTTTGGGTTTTTTTCAGCCGAGATTCACATGCCCTAGAATAAGCTCGACATCAGGGGTGCGCCCAGCCGGAGGGGGGAACAGCGCGACCACAGTTCTTTTCTGGATTTGGGCTGGTGGAAAACTGCCTCACCACTGTGTCAGGGAACAAAGGACCCGGCTCGCCATCCCCCGGCACTTGATGGCCTGAGGAATGATGGGGAGGGGGGTGGCCCAGCGACCCCGGGCGCGCGTGGGCCGGGGACCGGTCCTGCGGTGAGAGGGACCGCGTTCGTCCCCGACCTCATGCTGGCTACTAGGGAGCCCGGTGGGGACACCTGGGGCGGTGTGGAGTGGGGGGAACCCACTCACCCGGGAAGTGGCTGGAAGCCCGGGACCCCGAGCTTGGTCCTCGGGTGGTGAGCGCCCCGGGTTTGCACGGAGCTGCCCGGCCGGCCCTGGGGAACTGGTACCCTGGTCGAGGCTCCGCGGGAGGTCGGAGGCGGGTCTGCTCCCTGTCTCGGTAACTGGATGACCAGCAGAGGCGTCGCCAGATGCCCCAGCCCTCCCACTCTGCCGGCTTTCTGGAGCAGCCTGAGGCCGGCTGTCCCTACTTCTTGACGAGTCTATCTTCTCCAGTCCCTTTTTCTTCTCCCTGCCTCTCTTGCTGCTCACCTAGTGTGTGCCCCCCCGCCCCCCGGTATTCAGGGAGAATACGAGGGACTTTGCAGCGATCCCCGGGTCTCCACAATATCTTATCTTACTCCAGAAAGAGGAGTGTGACTTGGAAGAGCGAACCCTCGGCTGGAGAGTACTGTCTCTCTTCAGATCCAGGCTCTAGCACCTGCATCCTTAGTCAGGCTCAGAGGAACATCCTTGCTCTGCTCCCTAATGATCTTGAAGTGTTCTGCCCATTGATTGAATATTTCTCTGGCTCCATTTCCACCCCCGCCTCCCCGCCCCCCCCCCCCCGACTTATTTTAGCTCAGAGGACTTTTCAATTACTTCCTATTTCTCCCCAAGGAGCCTGTTACAAGTTGTAAGATTTGGCTTCGACTCTTGGTACTTTTGCACTCCTGTGTGCAGTTAGGCACGCTGTCCCAACCACAAAATGAACTTGAATAAACCTTTCCCCCTTTCAAACCATGTTTTGGTAAAAACATGCAGGCAATCAGGAGGTTGTAAATAAATATCACAAAGCAAGTGTTTTCGAGTCAAAAATACTTGTACGGGCAGTATATGCTTTTCCCCTGAAATGCTTTGCAGGTGAGTCATAGAGTGTTGTGCCTTTGGGCAACCCTGGCCACAACCGCCTGTTGCCCCAGTGGCAACCAAGCCCTGGCATAATGCACACGTGAATATGGCTGTAAAAGGTGCCTGTGGAAGCCTCTTCCTTTGGTGTCAGCATGGGGAGAGTCTCTGTTTCTATCTAAGCTGTCATTTGTGTCTAAGCTCCCAACACCACAGTGATCACAGCTCTGAAATGCTGCTTCCTCAGAGGCAGAAAGGTTCAATTAGCCAGAATGTGGGGTTTTACTTCCTTTCTCTTCTTTTCTTCTGCTTTAACTTTTTAAAAGTAGATGATTTTGTGGAAGGTATTCATAATAAGAATAGCAAGCCCAAATTAGAGGATTATAACATGCAGTCAAAATGTCAATAAAGTGGGATAATGTTTATCATTTGGAGTCATTTTGCTACACTGCAGTCTGTTGGACCTTTGTTAGGGTGGAAGAGTGTGTTTTGTTAAGAAGGGATTGGGCTTCTGTTTGTTTTTTTTTTTTTTTTTTTTTTTTTTTTTTGAGCTTACAGATAATGTTTAAAGGTGCTGGTAGCCGCTGCTAGACTGTAAACATTCTGCTGTTAAGCAAGCAGGTAACTACTGTATAACTGTCATAGGTGGGGACACTAGAGAGGCAGTAAACAGACGAAATAAGCTGTACTGCCACCTGGCAGCTGGAGTTTGTTAGATTCCCTGCACCCCCCACAGTTCTGCATCCTTAATACTAGGCATAGATACTATGCATTTGCATTCCAGTTCTCCCTTGCTTTATCTCCCAAATGAGATCCATTGTACATTTGTTAAACATTTCATAGGTTTTCCTGAGTAATTTATCATTTCCTTGACTTAAAAAATAATAATAAAAGAGAATCCTACAGTCCCTTCTAAATGTATTTTCACATAAATCTATTGGATGGTATTAAGGACTCAAATTAGAGTTCCATAAAGTAAACTGGGTGATCTTAAAAACACAGTAGTGTAGTATTTTTGGTGTTAATGAAGTTGGGACTTCATTGCATATCAGATATAAAGAATGCTTATAAAGCAAAGTCCTCAAAATGTTTTAGGCTAATAATCTTTATCCAATGTCTCCATTTTCCTTCTCCTTCCCCTTTGCCAGAAAGAATTTCATTTTGTCTTGTGTGAATTTTACATTTGAATGGGAAGAAAAACCAAACACACAGATACACACACTCTTCCATGTAGAACAGTGTCTGTGCTCGAATTTGGTGTAAGTTTTCCTTTGTTGAAAGTCTTAAGCTCTTTGGCGAGAACTTGGCTGTTGTAGATGGTAGACCACGGAGCTTACAGAGAGGTTCATTTGAATAACATATGCTTTCCTTCCTCAGGACTGAATGGAGTCACTGCCCTACGTTCCAGCTATGAAAACGCCTTTAACCCGCCAATGGGAAATTTGGCTTTAGGGAGAAAAATCTGGGCAGATACCACCTGCGGTCAGAACGCCACTGAACTGTACTGCTTCCACAGTGAGAATGCCGATCTGACCTGTCAGCAGCCCCGATGTGACAAATGCAACGCTACCCATCCTCACCTGGCTCACCTGCCATCTGCCATGGCAGACTCGTCCTTCATGTTCCCCCGCACATGGTGGCAGTCTGCTCAGAATGTGCACCGAGAAAAGATCCAGTTGGACTTGGAAGCAGAATTCTACTTCACTCACTTAATTATGGTGTTTAAGTCCCCTAGGCCGGCAGCCATGGTCCTGGAACGGTCCCAGGACTTTGGCAAGACATGGAAGCCTTACAAGTACTTTGCTACTAACTGTCTGGCCACATTTGGCCTGGAAGATGATGTTATCAAGAAGGGAGCTCCTTGTACTTCCAGATACTCCAATCCTTTTCCGTGCACTGGAGGAGAGGTAAGGGCATACATTTAACTCTACGCTGCAAGTGAGGGGGAAAAAATGTTACCAGCCCACATTTTTTTTTTAAGCATGAAGGTATACTTGTAGGAACATGAATGAAATTAGAATTTTTCATGAGATTTATTTGTCATAAATTATTTCTCAGCCTTAGACGTGGATGTGCTAGTTGCCCACTGGGTTGGCCTGAAGTAAAAATTCTAAGATTCTAATTTTGTTTTTGATGCTTAGTTGTTTGATGCAAGAAAATAAGAGAGAGGAAATTCTATCTTACCACCTAAGAATTTCAAGGGGCTGCTGATTTCTTCAGTTAGTGAGATGAGTTATTGTGCTCGTGAAGGGGCCAAAAATTACCAAGACTGCCTGTTTGCATATTCTGGTATCTTCTTGATAACTGTTAATATGAATAAGATGTAAATAAAAACAAAGTCAAGGGGGGAGAATCTTTGCTTCATAAGGATACATTTGCCTTCCAGAGTAGTTTTCTATGGTTAAAGGTTCTAAGAGTACATAGCAAACCAATGAAGGTAGGGGTTTTTTTGTCATTACACAAGTTCTTTTTGGACTATCAGTAAAATCAATTTCGGTTGAGGGACTTGGATCTATTTTGGGACTTACAAAATCATTTCAAGCTCATTCAGCTAAGCCACCCACGTAGCTATGTCCAATTTCTCAATGGACTGTTCCCTTTTTTACTTTTCCCTCCCTGTGGAGGAAATGGTACGTTTTCACTTACTTGAGTGTACCTAGAAAGTATTCCCAGCTCCAGAGGAAACTGGGTGGAAGCAGATTATCAAGAGAATACAATGACTTCAATCAATGAGTCAATCAAGAAATAGTGATTCTGAAAAGGGGCTTTCTAATGATGACCCATGTCGGAAGCATGCAAACTTGATAAGTAATTCTTGACAAAGAGCAATTCAGGGCTCCCAAAGGACATTTGGTAATTTCTGGAGATGTTTTGGCTTCATATAAAGGGCCACCACTGGCATCTAGTGAGAAAAAGGGGATGCTGCTAAGCGTTTTGCAATACAAAAGATAGCCTCCCCTCAGCAAAGTATTTTGAGTCTCTAAAGTGAACAGTTGTAATGTTCAAGTAGGTATTTGGCATACATAGAATGTATTACAGTGGCTATAAAGATGCAGATAAGGAGTCTTTTTACATTCCTACTCAGAGACTTCCAAGATGATTGTACTTAAGTCAGTCTGTACTCCCGGTTTCTTTCTTCGAGGCTTTGGCAGTCTGTGGCAGGTAGGCACGTAATGACTAAGTCAAGTATGAAGTACTAAGTACCACTAATTCTGCCTCTGAGTTGTGGAAAAGCATGCTTGCTAGAAGTGTGACAAATGTTTTGGCAACTTCTCCTTTTCTGATATCCTAGATGCATATGCTGTTGTGTATCACTGAGTTGGAACAGACCGATAGCTGACCCTCCAGTGAATTTTCAGAGACAGTAAATCACATAGGAGATTGCCTATCCTTCTCCCACGGAGCAGCTGGTGGAGTCAACCCCTGTGCCTTTAAGATTGCAGCTCAGCTTCTTACCACTAGGCCACCAGAGCTCCCTAGTTGCATGTACACTTTGCCATGTTATCCAGTTATTTTCTCCTGTGTGTTCATGTTGAAGAGACTACCAGAAGTAGAGCTGCAGCCCCAGGAACCAAGCTGGATGTGGCATCAGGAACACACTGACTGATTTCCATTCTTTTTCATAGTCCCTGAAGCTAGTGTAAAATCATATGCTCTTTCGTATCCTGTCATAATGGAGTGTTTTCTTTAAAAAAAAAAAGAAAGTAAAAATACCAGGACACGAGAGAGAGATAAATTTGCTTTCTTACATGGAAAACATTTTATGCTGAAGACAATTAAAGGGATAAAACTCTCAGATTGCTTTGGAATTGATCCACGAGGCTCTTGCCAGCTTTCTATATCTCACATTTGTTTCTACGAAGTGGCAAAAACCACAGATTTAGGAACCAGTTGGCAGACATGCTCTGTGAGCAAATGCCACATTTATTATGAAAGCCTCATGGTAAGATGCTCCACTGTAATTCCAAAAGCACGTGGTTTAAATCCACCAGGTGCTCCTCGGGAGAAAGATGGGCGGTCTCCTCCCATGCGATTTATAGCCTCAGAAAACACACTGGAGGATCAGCTATGGGTTGGTGCTGGAACAGCACAGAAGAACAACAAACATATTCCTCAACAAGATAGATTAACACAGTGACTTTAACAATGGATTCGAGCATTACAGAGACTGTAGGGATGGCGTAGGATAGAGCAAGGTTCCAAATCTATGATTCATAAGGTTGCTTTGAGGGCACCTTACAATGTATATTATATCTAACGCTCCACTAATTACTTATTGTTAGATGCCACTGAGCTTATTTCAATTCGCAGCAACTCCACGTGACAGAGTAGAACTACCCCCATAGACTTCTGAGGCTGTAATCTTTCTAGATCACATTACCACGTCTTTCTTCTGTCTTTGGGTGGGTTCAAACCACCAACCTCTCTGTTATCAGCCATGCATTTAGCTATTACCCCACCAGGGCTCCTTAGCAATTATTCGGAGATAAATAACATAATATTTACCAAGCTTGTGTTGTTCAAAAGCTCTGGTGGTGTAGTCCATACAAAGTTGCACTGCTAACCCCAAAGCAGTGTTTCTCTGGCTTCTCAAACTCTCCAGCTGCTGTAAGGGAGAAAGATAAGCAGTCTCCTCCTGTGCAATTGACAGCTTCTGAAAACCCACTGGAGAGTTAGTTCTGAGTAGGTCCTGACTGGAAGGCAAATGAGTAGCAGTAGGCTATTGTTTTCTTTTATCTCAATCTTTTATTTTTTTCTTTTATACTGATTTCTTTACAACGTTTCAATACATTATTTTTCACAAAAGATCCTTCCCGTTTCCTTCACTCCATCCACCCACCGAATTGTGCGACCCTATGATTAACACCCTACCCACCCCTCACCCATCCTAACCCCTCTGCTTCCACCACCACCACCACCACCACCAACCTCCCTTGGATCCTCATACTCATTCTACAATAATGGTTTTATATAGTATTTGTCCTGGTTGACTGAGTTAGTTCACTCAGAATAATGGTCTCCAGTCCCTCCCAACATAGGAGGTAATTTACAAAATCATTGCTTCTGTGTGCTGTGTAGTATTCCATTGTGTGAATGTACCACAGCTTCTCAGTCCATTCATTTGTGGTTGGATTGGGAACAAACATTTGGCAATACCATCTCAGACAAGAGTCTCATGACTAAAGGTTATAGAATACTCCTGGGCCTCCATATGAAAAAGTCTGATAAACAAATTACAAAATGGGCAAAAGGCATAGAATTTTAGACAAAGAATTTTCACAGAGGAAGATATTCAAATGGCCAGCAGACACATGAAGAAATGCTCCAAATCACTGGCAATAAGAGAGATGCAAATCAAAACCACAAGATACCATCGCATTTCAGTAGCAGTGGCAAAGTTTAACAGGACAGCAAGTAGTAAATATTGGAGAGGATGTGGTGAGATCGGAACTCTTAAACATTGTTGGTGGGATTGTAAAATGTTACAACCACTCTGGAAGGCAGTTTGGCATTTCCTCAAAAAGCTGAACATAGAAATTCCATATGACCCAGCTATTCCATTGCTTGGAATATACCCCAAGAAAATGAGAACTGAGGCTCAGACGGAGACTTGCACACCAATATTCATAGCAGCATCATTCAGCATAGCAGTAGGCTGTTGTTAGAGTGCTCTGGTGGCGTGATCTGCAGACCATTTGCATGGAGACTGTATTGCATGCAGCGTGTTGCACAAGAGGTTTTAAGCCTCTGGCAGTTCAAATTCACCAGTGACTCTGAGGGAGAAAGATGAGTGGCTTCCTCTTGCTAAAAACTTACTGACCTGGAAAGGCAGTGGAGGGTCATTCCAAGCTGGAATCAACTTGGTGGCAGTGAGTTTGGGTTTGAGTTTTTTGATGTGGTTATTAGTTACTGGTGAGCTGACTTCGATTCGTGATGACAGCAGAACAAAACATTGCCCAAGCCATTGCCCAATCCTGCTCAAGTTCATTTTTTCACCCACTGTGTATTTTTAGTGCCTTCCAATCTAGGAGGCTCATCTTCCCGACTGTATTAGACAAAATTCTGTCATGAGCCATAGGCTTTTCATTAGTTATCAAAATAGGTTGCCAGATCTTTCTTCCTGGTCTAGAAACACCACTGAAACCTCTCGATCATGGAGAACCCTGTTGGAAAGGGAAATACCAACAGCTTCTGGCCCCAAAGCAACACATTAAAATACATCAGACTTAGGCGAGTTCTGGTGGCCTAATGACAAGAAGCTGCAACTGCAATCTCAGAGATGCATGGTTCGAATCCATCAGATGTTCTGCTGGAGAAGGAGGAACAATCTCCTCCTGTACCAGTCAGATCTGATTTGACGGCACACACACAAAAATAATGAAATAAAAGAAATTTAAAAAAACAAATACATCAGACTCACAGATGGCTAGTTATATCTAACCCCTAACCCTCTGACCCAGTGCCATTGACTCTGATTCACTTCAGCTCTCTGTCCGGTTTCTTTACAGTAAAAGACTTCTCATCTTTCTCCCACAGAAAGCTAGTGGGTCCAAACTGATAACCATTTTGTTAGAAATCCCACAGATAACATACTGCTCCACAAAAATCACATGTACTCTCTAAAGCTAAGTTGCAGCTAGTCTGTAACTTAGAATTCAGGCTTCCAATCTGATGACTCAGTCATAGGTCGGTTCTGACATAAGTCAAATACCTTAGGGTGTGTTTTTTTTCTTCCCTTTTCTTTATTACTGCCTTTTATTATCAATATTCTTATCTATTTAATCTTTATTTGCCGCTAGGATGGCATGAGAATTATGAGATACAATATTGTATGCAGGACAAATTACAAAAAATAAGATGGAAAATAAAAAGACAGTTTAGTGTGATTTGTTGTAATTCAAATATG